GGCAGATTATGCCACACTTTAATGCCCTCTCAAAGGGCATTAAAGGAACATGGATCCTACTAAATGCATTGTGGGACTCCATCAAGAGTCCCACCTAGGAGTCTCTGGGGATCCTCCAACTGGCCATGGGGCACTCTCAATGCTCCACAGGCTTTACTCACATACACACCCACCCTGTGCCCAGCTCCCTGTTCACAATCCCAACAGTGGCCACAAGAGTGAGTTTGGCAGATGGCTAGTGAGCACATGCAGAAAGCCTGTGCTGGCCCAAATCTGTGGGCCAGGAAGAGACTATAAATTTGAGCTCTAGTGCCACCTTTGGGAAAACAAAAAGGAGGCTGTGAGCACTTGGCCTGGTGTTTTGCAGGATCAGAAGGCATACAAGCTTAAGAATTTTGCTGCAGAGGGAGCAAGAAACGTTAAGCAAGTGTATCCACAGAAGATCTGAGAAAGCCTCAGAATCCCTAGCAGGGCTGATGGAAGGTATTTTTCTCCTGAAGGCTGTTAATAAAGACTGGAGGAGGTGACCGATACTTCAAATATGAAGACAGCAATGCAAAACTTCAAGGACATGAAAAATCAAGGAAACAATGACATCACAAAAGAACCACAATAATCTTCCAGTAACCAATCCCAAAGATATGGAGATCTACAATTTACCTGATAAATTTAAAAATAGCTGTTTCAAGGAAATTCAATGAGCTACAAGAAAACACAGAAAGACAAGTCAACAAAATCAGGAAAACTACACTATATGAAAAAAATGAGAACTTTAACAGAACTTTAAGAGATAGAAATCATAAAAAAAAGAACCAAACAGAAATTCTACAGCTGAAGAATACAATGAATGAAATGGAAAATGCAACAGAGAGCATCAACATCAGAACAGATCAAGCAAAAGAAAGAATCTGTGAGATAGAAGACAGGAACTTTGAAATTATCCAGCCAGAGGAGAACAAAGAAAAAAAGAATTAAAAAGAGTGAAGAAAGCCTACATCATCTATGGTATACCATCAAAAGAAATAATTTGTGGATTATTGGAGTTCCAGAAGTTTAGGAGAGAGAGAAGAGAGCAGAGAGCTTATTTAAAGAAATAATAGCTGAGAACTTCCCAAATCTGGGCAGAGATATGGATATCAAAATTTATGAAGCTCATGGATCACCAAGCAAACTCAACTTAAAGAGATCCTCTTCAAGACTCATTATAATAAAACTGTCAAAAATCAAAGACAAAGAGACAATCTTAAAAGCAGAAAGAGAAAAGAAGCTTATAATGTACAAGGGAACCTTCATAAGGCTATCAGCAGATTTCTCAGCAGGCACCTTACAGGTCAGGAGAGAGTGGGATGATACATTCAAAGTCCTGAAAGAAAAAAACTGCCAACCAAGAATATTCTATTCAGCAAAGTTCTCCTGTGGAAATGAAGGCAAGAAAAAACGTTTTTCAAACAAAAGGTGAGACAGTCCATTACCACTAGACTTGCCTTACAAGAAATGCAAAAAGGAGTTCTTCAAGCTAAAATGAAAGGATGTTAACTAGTAACATAAAAACATATGAAAATATATAAGACACTGGTAAAGCTAAGTATATAGTCAAATTCAGAATACTCTAATACTGTAATACGGTGGTATGTTAACCACTTAACTCTAGTATAAAGGTTAAAGGACAAGAATATTAAAAATAACTATAGCTACAATAATTTGTTAATGAATACACAATATAAAAAGAGGTAAATCATGACATCAAAAACAAAAAAGGAGAGAGTAAAAAGGTAGAGTTTTTATATGCAATGGAAGTTATCAGCATAAAATAGACGATTATAGCTATATGATGTTTTATGTAAGCCTCATGGTAACCATAAAACAAACCCTACAGTAGATTCACAAAAGATAAAGAGAAGGGAATCAAAGCATACCACTATATAAAATCATCAATTCACAATGGAAGATAGCAAGATAGGGAGAAAGGAACAAGGGAACTACCAAACAGCCAGAAAACAATAAGATGGCATTAGTAAGTCCTTACCCATCAATAATTACTCTAACTGTAAACAGACTGAATTCTCCAAACAAAAGACATAGTGTAGCTAAAAAACAAGACCCAACTATATGTTGCCTACAAGAGACTCACTTCAGTTTTAAGGACACACATAGGCTCAAAGTGAAGGGATGGAAAAGATATTCCATGAAAGTAGACACCAAAAGAGAACAGGAGTGGGAATGTAAATTTGTACAGCCACTATGGAAAACAGTATGGAGGCTCTTCAAAATTAGAAAAAGAACTACCATATGATCCAGCAATCCCATTTCTAGGTATATATCCAAAGGAATTGAAATCAGTATCTCAAAGAGATATCTGTACTCCCATGTTCACTGCAGCATTATTCACAACAGCCAAGACATGGAAGCAACATAAATGTCCATTGATGGACAAATGGATAAAGAAAATGTACATACATGCAATGGAATATTATTCAGCCCTAAAAAAAAAAGAAAGAAATCCTGCCATCTGCAACAACATGGATGAACCTGGAGGACATTGTGCTACGGGAAATAAGCCAGACACAGAAGGAGAAACACTACATGACAACACTTATATGAGAACCAAGAGAAATGAGAAGATATTTCCACACAAAGACTTATTCAAGAATGTAGTTTTATTCAAAATAGCCAAAGACTGGAAATAGCTCAGGTGTCCATTAATAGAACTGATAACCAAACTGTGGCATATTCACTCAATGGAATACTACTCGGCAATAAAAAGGAACAGATTACTGACAGGTGCAACAATATAAATGAATCTCAAAAACATAATAATAGGTGCAAGAAGAAAAATACATGTTTGAGGACACCATTTACATAAAGTTATAGAATAGGCAACGCTACGGCATAAAAAATTTAGAATGGTGGTTACCTCTGTGTGAGTGGGGCAGGAACTGACTGGGAAGGAGCATGAGGAAGCTTCCTGGGGTGATGGTAATGTTCTATATCTTGATAGGGGTTTGGGTTCCATAAGTACATGCTTTTGTTAAAAACTCAGCAAATGTACACTTAAGATTTGTGCTTTTGGGGGCCAGCCCAGTGGCATAATGGTTGTCTGCACATTCTGCTTTGGCAGCCCTGGGTTCGCCGGTTCGGATCCTGTGTGCAGATCTGCTCACCACTCATCAAGCCATGCTAAGGTGGCATCCCACATAGAAGAGCTACAAGTGTACAACTATGATAATATAACGATGTACTGGGGCTTTGGGGAGAAAAAAGAAAAAAAAAGAGGACGGTTGGCAACAGATGTTAGCACAGGGCCAATCTTCCTCAAAAAAAAAAAATTGTGCTTTCATTGTATATAAAATTTACATCATAAGAAAACTTGTAAAAATACTGAACTCTAGCTAATGATATGCAAGTTAAAATATTTAGGGGACGAGTACAGATGTCTGCAATTTACTCAAAAATATGTTAAAAATAAGATGGACTGATGGATAGATAGAGGGATAGATATGTGATAAAACAAGTATAGCAAAATGTTAAGGGTAGAGCCAAAGTGGTTGCTATAAAAGTATTTACTCTATGATTCTTTCAAATTTCTTGTATGTTTGAAAATGTTCATAATAAAATATTGTGGCAAAAGGCGGGATAATAAAAATCAAAGAAAGAAGAGACAGCAGAGAATGTTAAGGAGGAAGCACCAGTGAATTAGAAGGGAAACGAGCAGTCTGATATACCAAAAGTCAGTGAGAAAAGCAACTTCAGAAGAGGGAATGGTCAATTGTGCAGACTTCTTCTGAAAATTCAAATAACATTAGAACAGGCCCATTGGATTTGGCTGTAAAAGAAGTGTGAGTGGAGGAGAGTGAAGCCACACTGAAGTAGAGGGAGAGAAAACTGTTGGTGAGAAAGTAGAGACAATAAATGAAAACAACTCCTAAGAAACTTGGCTGTGAAGGAGACCCAGAGAGACGGGGCAGCAGCTGAAGGAGGGTGGGGGTCAAGATCATGGACAATACCAGAGCGGGTTTATGTGTAGATGGGAATGATCCAGTAGAGAATCAGGTGATGTAGTGGGTAGAACTGTGTCCCCTGAAAATATATGTTTAAGTTCTAACCCCCAGTACCTATAAATGTGACCTTACATGGAAATAGGATCTTTGCGGATGTAATTTAGTTACAATGAAGTTATGCTAGATTAGGGTGGGCCCTAATCCAATGATTGGTGTCCTTATAAGAAGAGGACACAATAACAAGAGGAATTTGGACACAGACACAGACAGAACGCCATGTGACAGTGGAGGCAGAAATTGGTGTGACGCATCTACAAGCCAAGGAATACCAAGGATTGCCAGCAACTACTAGAAACTGGGAAGAAGAAAGGAAGGCTTCTCCCCTACAGCTCTCAGAAAAAGAACATGGCTCTGCTGACACCTTAATTTCAGACTTCTAGCCTCCAGAGCTGTGCGAATAGATTTCTGTTATTTTAAGCCTCCAAGTTTGTAGCACTTTGTTATGGCAGCCCTGGGAAACTAACACAGGGGAGATTAATGGTGAAGAGAAACAGGTGTTAAGGACAGGGGTGATGTCCTTGACAAGGTGATATGGAATCATTTCCAAGGTACCAGGGAGGAGCTGGCCTATCAGGGCCACCCTCCTCCACTGAAATAAGTATATTATCATTCAGGGAAGATCCAAACAATTAAGGGTTTACCCAGCAGCTTTGGACAATAAAGAATGCTTCAAACACCCTTTGTAATAGATTCTCTGTCCTTTTAACCAACACACAATATGCAGCCTACATATTATAAGTTACTGGTCTTTCTCTAAGCATACAAGAAACAACCCATGAAACTTAAATACAATGATTCTATGCCTTCCAAGAGGAGTTTGAGAACAAAGAGGCAAGTCTTACCAACAGCAATGGAACCAGGTGCTCAGACAACGGTCAAAGCAAAACAAAACAAAACAAGTAGATGAAAAGCCTGGTAACTCAAATTCAGGAAGCTCCTTACCTTGAGCTGCTGCTGGAGTTCACTGTTCAAGCGGGCCAGCACTGCGTTTGCCTCTTTATTTTTGCGGATAGCAGTTTGAATAGCCTTCTTCTGTCTGGAAGACTGTCTACAAAAAGTACAAACAGTTCAGTGAAACAGAACTTAGAGGTCTGGACCCTTGTGGGTCAGAACTCTGATTCATAAGAAGTGCTAAACTAACAAGGGGCTAATGTCACAGGGCTCCAAAAATAAAATCACATATTCACAGACAGGCAGGCACACGCTAAATGAAACAAATTTGTCGGGATGAATTATCTACACCTGAAGTAATTCCCATTTTATAACTTGAAGAAAAGCTGTAAATTGGGCCTTTTCAAACACTTTGCATCCTATTTATTCCAAGACATTTTAATATGTATTTCTTCCTGACAAAACATATTAACTGGAGTGCCTTTTTTGTGTAAGTATTAAAGCCATTTAAAAGACCTGCAGGTGGCCCCTGTGGACAAGTCTGAAGGAAAAGAAGAACATTTTCTTTAGCAAAAATCATACATTAACTTAGTCAGCCTACATAACTCTCCTTTCTTTATTATTAGGCACGAATGCCTGACTGTGTGAGTGTGCACGTGCATGTGCACACACCAGCATACATCTGTGGCACTTGAGAAATGCAGAAATGTTTTAAAACCAGTATTCCCAAATTAAGTCAACAGTAAATTCACAGAACATGTATAACTAGGGTGACCATATATCCCACTTTGCCTCTTACAGTCTCTGCTTACACTTCTTCTTTGGCTTTAATTATTTTGAGCGCTCTCTTACCCCTCAAAACTCTCCATGGTTGGAATGATAAATCAACGTGGTTGTATAACCTACAACCTTATATCCCACAGCAAGAAATACTGAACTCTCAAAGCAAAAGGAAAATTTAAGTTCCCCTATAAAAACAAACATCTTTGTAGTCACTAGGAGATGGGTTCTAGGCCAGAGCAACTGAACTGGAATGCATTGTGACCACTGTAGAGATCTGATTAATATTCGCTGAGAATATACACTATGCCGGCCACTCAGCTAATCTGTAGAAGACATACTCCCTTCCCCAACAAGTGTAGAGCTAAAGATTAACTTTTTCATCCATAAATAGGCAGGGCAGAGGCTTCAAAATCTACTTTTAAAAAGATATAGATTGGGCCAGCCCGGTGGCGTAGCAGAAGTTCATGCACTCTGCTTTGGCGGCCCAGGGTTCGCAGGTTCGGATCCCAGGCACGGACTGACATACTGCTTGTCAAGCCAGGCTGTGGTGGTGTCCCATATAAAGTAGAGGAAGATGGGCTCAGATTTTAGCCCAGGGCCAGTCTTCTTCTGCAAAAAGAGGAGGATTAGCAACGGACGTTAGCTCAGGGCTAATCTTCCTCACAAAAATAAACAAAAAAAAAGATATAGATTGGATTTCTGGTTTCAGGACAAGATAGAGTAGACACACTTCTCTCAATTCCTCCCACTAAGTACAGTTAAAACTCCAGAGGCAATACATACAACAAACATAAGATAACTCCAAAAAGTGAAGTGAAGAGGGCAAATCAGCTAGGGAACTCAGTACCCAGAGAACCACATAGCAGTGAATTCCCTGGGTTTTCTTTTTTGCTACATATATTCTATACTGGATAGTGGAGAAGATGGCAATGCATAAATGTCAATGAAGGCAGACAAAAAAAGCCTCCCCAAAATCCTACACTCTCTAGCCAAAGGACTTGGAAAGGGGCAACCTAGCAAGACAAAAATTAGACACAATATCCCTCCTGAATATATGTGAAAAATCTTTAACAAAGTATTAGCAAATAGAATTCAGCAATATATAAAAAGAATTATACACCATGACCAAGAGGAGTTTATTCCAGGGATGCAAGACTAACTCAATATTCAAAAATCAATCCATGTAATCCCCCATCTTAACAGCTGAAAGAAGAAAAAAATCACATGACCATATCAAATGATGTAGAAAAGGCACCTGATAAAACTCAACACCATTCATGATAAAAACTCAGAAAACTATGACTAGAGGTGAACATTCTCAACTTGATAAAGAAACTACAGCTAACATCAAACTTAATGAAAAACTGAATGCTTTCCCCCTAAGATTAGGAACAAGGCAAGGATTTCTATTCTTATCATTATTTTCAACATAGTGCTGGAAGTCCTAGTCAGCACAATAATGCAAGAAAAGGAAATAAACGGCACACACATTGAAAAGAAAGAAATGAAGGTGCCGGCCCAGTGGCATAGCAGTTAAGTTCACGCACTCTGCTTCAGCAGCCCAGAGTTCACGGGTTCAGATCCCAGGCGTGGACCTGCACGCCGCTCATCAAGCCATGCTGTGGTGGTGCCCCACATATAAAATAGAGGAAAATTGGCACAGATGTTAGCTCAGCAACAATCTTCCTCAAGTAAAAGAGGAAGACTGGAAACAGATGTTAGCTCTGGGTCAATCTTCCTCACACACACAAAAAAAGAAAGAAATGAAAACTGTCCCTATTTGCAGATGATATAATGGTCTATGTAGAAAATCCCAAGGAATCTATAAAAACTCCTAGAACTAATGAGTGATTTCAGCAAGGATAGAAGTAAGTTTTCAGGACAGAGGATTAACATACCAAAATCAATAATATTTTGATATACTAACAATGAACACTTGGAAATCGAAATTAAAAATATATTATTTATAAAGACTCAAACTGAAATCCTTAGATATATCAAAACCTGTACAGAATTTACATGCTGAAAACTATACAACACTGATGAAAGAAATAAAATAGAATCTAAATAAATGGAGAAATACATCATGTTCAAGGAGTGGAAGACTCAACATAGTAAAGATGTCAACTCTCTCCAGATTGATATAAAAGTTTGACACAATTCCTGTAGGAATCTCAGCAAAATTTTCTGTAGTTAAAGACAAAATGATTCTAAAATTTATATGGAAAGACAAAAGAATTAGAATAGCTAAAACATTTTTGAAAAAGACTAACAAAGTGGGAGAAACAGGAGACATTACATAGCTATAGTATCAAGTAATTAGGTAATGAAGACTGTGTGGTACTGGCAGAGGAAAGGACACACAGATCAATGGAACAGAACAGAGAACCCAGAAATAGACTCACACTAGTATGGCCAACTTATTTCTGACAGAGGTGCAAAACAAAGTCAATGGAGACAGAATAGCCTTTTCAACAGTGCTGAAGTGTGAAGTGTAAAATTATAAAACTTTTAGAAGAAAACACAAGAGGAAATCTTCAGAACCCAGGGCTTGGTGAAGAGTTTTTAGATGTGACAACAAAAGCATGATCCATAAAAGAAAAAGAAATCAATAAGTTGGACTTCATCAAAATTTTAAAAACTTTTGCTCTGTGAAAGACTCTGTTAAGCGGATGAAAAGACAAGCTACAGACTGGGAGAAAATATTTGCAAACCACAGATCTGACAATTGATTTGTATTTAGAATATATAAAGAACTCTGAAAACTCAACAGTAAAAAAACAATTAGAAAATGGACAAAGGACATGAAGAGACATGTCACCGAAGAGAATATATGATGGCAAATACACACATGAAAAGATGTTCAACATCACTAGCCATTAGGGAAATGCAAATTAAGATCACAATGGGAAAGAACTACACACCTATTAGAACAGCTAAAATTAAAAAAAAAAGTGACAGTACCAAATGCTGGTGAGGATGTGGAGAAACTGAATCTCTCATACGTTGCTGGTGGAAATGTAAAATGGTACAGCCATTTTGGAAAACAACTTGGCAGTGTCTTTAAAAACTAAACATAACACTTAGCACATAACCCAACAATCACACTCCTGGACAGTTATCCCAGAGAAATGAAAACTTATGTACACACAGGAACCTGTACATAGATGCTCACAGCAGCTTTATCTGTAATACTCAATAACTAGACACAACAAAAATGTCTCTCAACAGGTGAATAGCTAAACAAACTGCGGTACATCCACACCATAGAACACCGCTTAGCAGTACTGATTGAGATACGTAACAACTTGGATGGATGCCAAGGGCATTTATGCCGAGTGAAAAAAGCCAAACTCAAAAGGTCACATGCTGTGTCATGCTATTTATATAACATTCTCAAAATGACAAAATTACAGAGATGGAAAACAGATCAATGGTTGCCACGGGTAAGGAATGGTGGGGAGGGGGTAGGTGCGACTTTTGTATCTTGATTACAGTGGTGGTTACAAGACTCCACACATGTGATAAAATGGCACAGAACTACACACATACACTGTCCCAATGTCAATTTCCTGGTTTTGATATTGTACTATAGTTAGGTAAAATGTAATCACTGGGAGAAACCAGGTGAAAGATACACAGGACTTCTTTGTACTATTTTTGTAATTTCCTGTGGATCTATAATTATTTCAAAATAAAGAGTTTAAAAAAAAAAGATGTTGATCAGAACTGATGCCCCTCCTTAAACTACTACTATGCAATGTGTGCCCAGCTTATAACAGTTTCCCCCTTCTCTGGGAACCTTCTCTATCCCCTTTCCCCTTCTCCACAGGAATGGGCCCCTGGCAGGCAGTTTGTCTCAAGAAACTTGCACCTCTATTTTCACACTTGAATGGATGCTGGCCCATGCTGAGCTGACCAGATTCTCTCTCCCAGGGATGTGGGTTATGACTAAGAGTTCAGTTCAGCCTGGGTCCTGCACAGTGAGCTGAAGGTGGTTGAGAATCTTCAGAGATAAAAGTGACAAAAACACTCTAAGAAAATTGAGAAGAATCAGAAGGAGCCTCAAAAGGTTTGCAATCCTCTCTTCCAATCCATTCCTGTCACGGGTTTCCAGAGTCACCCCTATATCCTTATAATAAATAATATGGTTTTGCAACCTCAAGCTTTTTATTATCTGCAACCAAAGGAGCCCTAAATAACGCAAAGATAGTACCAACCCCAGAATACCTTTCAAGGGTTCAGCAAAGGCATTTATTTAACTTGCCTCACCTTCTCAAGAGTTGCTTCTTGAGTTTGTCTCTTCAAGTTCTCCTAATATTGCTACTCACTGTTCCAGGCTGGGCTCTAACTGGCCTGGTTTCCAAGGAGGAAGATGAGGGAGTAATAGTTAAGCAGAGATTTCTTTTGCCCAGTTCTATTGTGTGTCATGCTATCTATCGATTTTGAACTGCAGCACTGTGAGACACTGTCCACTAAAGGTTTTGTGGCAGACTATCCTCCCAAACCTATTCTGTACCTTCTTGTTTTCAGAAGCATATCATCCTCAGTTTGAGCTAGGCACATGGCTATCCAACTAGAAACTACATTTCCCTGTCTCCCTTGCAGGTAGGTGAGACCATATGTTTTGGTCAAAGGAATCAGAGAGAAGTGATGTGTGTGCCACTTCTGAGCCGTGTCCTTAAAAGTAATCTGTTTTCTCTCCATTTGTTCCTTCCCCATTCTGGGGGCCTGGAACGTGAACATGTTAGTGGTGAGCCACCTTCAACCACGTGGATAAAGGCAACCCCCACAGGGATTTAGAAAAAGAAGACAAAAGATACCTGGGTTCCTGGACAGAGCTACTCTATGCTTCTGGACCACTCACCAACTCAGACTTTTACATAAGAAAGAAGTCAATTTCTATGTTATTTGAGCAACTGTCACCCGGTCTTTTTTCAAGCAGCTGAAGCAATATGTAAAAGAATATAAACTAGGGTCTCTAGATGACAAAAATCTTCTTAGTCTTCACCCTGGGCCTTGATTTCTCCCAAGGAATTCTGAGTATAGCTTCTACGAAGTGAACTTGTATTACCTTTGGTCTACTTGGAAATGGTAGGTTTTTATTAGGGATGCCAATCATCAATCCCACAGACAGTCCAATACCGCCCAACACGAGGTGAGAAGGGAAACAGAATCCCAGCCACATTACGAACGTCATGCAGGCAAGCAGACACTACCACACTTGTTGCTGGGCATGGCCTGGGGTAGTCCAGGATACCTCCTGGGGTTACAGAGAAGAGCAGAGGCCATGGAGGCTGGTAGAGGTTCAGCTATAGTACTGTTACACTACATTCTCTATCTCCAAACTGCTCAAGCCATTCTATTTTCCTAAAGTCCATTCGTAGCAGATACACAAGCTATGGGGAAAAACCAACTAAGCCAAATTATTTCTAAGAAAAACACACTTTGTCCTCATAGGCAGCTCACTGATGATGACACAATCTTAGAGCTGTTTATTACTTATAACCTGGACTTAGCAGCTCACTTGGAGAGAACACTTTATTAGTTCCTTTGCCCTGAATGGAGCAGACAATAATAATATTTGAAGGAGAATTTGTTTCTTTTGATAGGTCAGTTCTGATGTTCACTTCCGAAAGAGCTGATGACTGTTTTGCAACTAGTCTATTTTTTTAGCCTTTCTTAACCAGTGTTCTGTGAGAGAATTAAGAAAATGATTTGTGACTCTTGTCTCAATTTTCCCAAAGACAATGCATAGTAAAGACCACTCTAGATGCAAGAGAGAGGTTAACTTACTACAGACAATAGATGTCTAAGGGCATCAGAGCTTCGTTCTTTCCAGAACCCTGGTTCAGAAACGACTATACAGACTAACCATCATGTGTCTGGCTGTCTCTCTCCAGGGCTTAAAAAACTATAGTGCTAAGTTGATTTTTATCACTCCAAAATAAACTGGTCTGGGAACTAAAATAAGTTGTATGAAGTTCCCTGACCTCAAAGCTTAGATCCCTGCCATTTACAGCACTATTAAGTGTTGCTGACGGGTGCTAGCCTCCCAGCCTGACACCATGTGGTCACCTAACTAGTGAAAGAGTATCATGGTGAGAGACAGTCACTGAACAGGCAGATAAAAGTATCTCCTTTCACCAAATGGTGCTGGGACAACCGGATATCCATATGCAAAAGAATGAAGTTGGATCCCTTCCTCATACTATACACTATAATGAACTCAAAACTGAGCCATGGGCTTCAATGTAAGACCTAAAACTTATAAAACTTTTAGAAGCAAACACAGGAACAAATCTTCATGAACTTGGGTTAGGCAATGGTTTCCTAGCTATGACACTGAAAGCACAAGTGACAAAAGAAAAAAAAAATAGATAAATTGGACTTCATCAAAATTAAAAACTTTTGTACTACAAATAATACTATCAAGAAAGCAAAAAAAACAACCTACAAGACGAGAGAAAATACTTGCAAATCATATATCTGACAAGAGACTTGTATCAGAATATGTAAAAAACTCATAACTCAAAAATAAAAAGGTAAATAATCCAAGTAAAAATGGGCAAAGGATCTGAGTAGACATTTCTCCAAAGAAGATATACAAATGGCAAATAAGCACATGAAAAGATGCTCAACATCATTAGCCATTAGGGAAATGCAAATCAAAACCACAATGAGATACCACTTCACACCCACTAGAATGGCTATTAAAAAAAAACAGATAAGTGTTGGCAAGGAAGAGGAAAACTGGAACCCTCATACATTACTGGCAGGATTGTAAAATGCGGCAACCACTGTGGAAAAGAGTTTGGCAGTTCCTCAAAATATTAAATATAGACTTACCACGTGACCCAGCAATTCCACTTCTAGGTATATACTCAAGACAAATGAAAATGTGAAGTCCACACAAAAACTTGTACACAAATAGTATAGCAGCATTATTCTTAATAGCTGAAAATGGAAACAACCCAAATGTCCATCAACTGATGAATGGATGAATAAAACGCAGTATATCCATACAATAGGACATTATTCAGCAATAAAAAAGAATTAAATTCTGATTCATGCTACAACATGGATGAACCTTGAAATCATGCTAAATGAAAGAAGCCAGTCACGAAAGACCACATGTTGCATGATTCCATTTAAATGAAATGGCCAGAACAGGCAAATCTATAAAGACAGAAAGTAGACTAGTGGTTGTCTGCGACTTGGGGGAAGGGAGAATGGAAAGTGACTGTTAATGGGCACGGAATTTCTTTTTGGGGTGATGAAAATGTTCTAAAACTAGATCGTGGTGATGGTTGCACAACTTTGTGAATATATTAAAAACCATTGAATTATACACTTAAAAGGGTGAATTGTATGCTAGGTGAATTACAACTCAACGAAGCTGTTAAAAAAAACAGACAAAGGAAAGAAAAGGAAAAGGATCTGTGTATGAACTCCACTAGCTGCCCTGCCATCGACTATGGAGGATATTATAGCCACCACTCACTGACTAGCATTAATGTGAAGTGGAGACTGAAGTGGAAAGCCGGGTAGAACATGGAATAAAGCTTAGCCATCTTTGTCCTTGATAGGGATCCATCCCCTAGGTTTGAGGGTGGCTGGAAGATGGTCAAAGGTCTCAGTGACCATTAAGGACAAAATATACTTCCTTTATGCACTGATACCAATGGGGAACTGTCCATTTGGAAAAACAAAAACAAAAACCATCAACTGAAGAAGAGTGCTGCCCAAATTCAGAATGGGGCTTTGGCTTCAAAGGCAAGTTGTTCTTTCCATAACAGTGTAAGCAGGAGAAAATCTGCAGCAGCCCCTGAGATTGGCAAGGCCCCTAGAGCAGTGTCATGACATATCTTGAGCATTTACGTTAGTGACTAGTTGGGTTCACTTGAAGTCACGCATAGCAGCAGGTTTCTGCCCTCAACATTTTGCTCAATTTCAGTACAGGGAAACTGAGGCAAGTGATAGCTCTTCTTAAAGCCAAAGCCTTCTGGAGAAGGATGGTTTGTCCATAGCACTGGTCTCTTGGTCCTTGGCCATGTCCACAGGTGTCCCCACCCCCCTCCAATGTCTGTTTCAGCTGGTTAGATAGATATCTTGGAGGCTCTGCATGTGACCATTCTGTGCTGAGATGATCAACAACAGAAACTCTTTATGGGGATTAAAAAGAAATCACACACCACATCTACTGAAAGTTGGGTCTGAGGGTCATGAAGCTAGGGCCATCTGCCCTAGAGGAACATGAGATTAGACAGGCAAAGAGGGAAACTTGCCATCTCTAATCACTGTCTTCTTCCTAGGAAAATGTGGGCCAGCACAAGGAAGAGAGTCGGAAGGAGTGAAAGATGAGGGAGGAAGGGAAGGAAATCAAACAAAACCAAAACACACCCCAGCCTGGGACTCACTTGCCCTTTGGCCCAGGTTAAGTCCTACAGCTTAGAAAGCCTCTCTATGTGACTGGGAGACTAACCCCATCATGGACATGAGGAAGGTCAGACTACAACCACAAAATCACACTCTTCTATGGGTGTGAGTATAAATGTAAACATATTTCCATTTATATAGACACACAGATTTATAAGGAAGGTTCTGACCTTGCTCTCATTTATCTGCTCTACTTACTTTTGGACTGTTGGATGGGGTTTCACGGTTGCTACAGCTGGCCCGCCTACAGTGGGAGAAGGCTCTTGGTTTTCTGTAGCTTGATTTTCAGGTCGGAATTTCCTACGGATGGGCTTTGATGGGGGCTGAGAATATGGTATGTCCTGTGGATTAAAAACAAAACAAAAACCCCATGAAGTTAAAAAATTAAATGCTCCCTCCCATCATGCCAATGCCCCATGTTCCTCTAGGCCCCACCCCAAGGTCAGGCGTGTGCTCTTTTCAAACTCCACACCCAAGGAGATGTGGGTGACTCAAGGCCTCGCAAGAACTGGAGGGACACAGGCATTAGATTCCAGTGGCCTTTCTTTCTTTTTCTTTTTTCATGCTTGCAGCCTATTACCACTTTTTGTCACCTGGAAGGACACAGGAATCAGAGTCCAGTGGCCCGCCTGCCCTCCCTGCCTGCCTTCTTTTTTTTAAAATGCTGTGTGCATCTCACACCACAGGGCCTTTTCTAACTGAAGACAAAACTGGCCCTTGCCTCCCTTTTGGGCTTTGTGGAATATAAGTTTTGAAATTTGTAAAGGTGTTAGTCATATGCTCATTATTCTCCTACTCCCAATTCCTACACGAAGTCAAGCTCAAGAGCCACAGTGCCTTCTGGAAGGAGACAGCTGACCTGCTTCCTTGGAGGCCCCTGCCTCACCTGTGCTCCCGAGCCCAGGGCCTGCTCTCTTTGATGGGAAGGGCCTGAGAAAATGGGGAAAGACAAGAAGAGGGTGACAAGGTGAAAGGAGAGCACGATGGCTGAGTGGTGCTTACTGAGCAAATGACCCGTGACTCAGTGACACGGGTGGGCTACAGTGAAGACACCGGGATGCAAGAGGAGACCATGGCACAAAGAGCAGGGGAGACTTCCCCACCCCTACAAGGCACTCCTAGCACCTTAGCAGCGTGCAGGGTTCTGCTGACAGCATCTGTCCCTCTCCACCACACCTCCTCATCTTGCCCAAAGCAAGGCCGCCATATTTAGCTGGGAGGTTGAAGAAGAAAGTACAAACTGTCAGTGACATCAAGGTTAAGCCCAGGAGTCATCAAGACCCTAAACTTCACAAAGAACCCCAATTCTAGGAAATGTGAATCATTAACATTCATGTCAGGACATGAAAACTTTAAAAGGGTAGATTTGCTAATGGAGGCAAGAAGCCCAGGGGAGAGGCTCACAATGCCATCACAGTCACACCCTCATGCTGGCCTTACCTTCTTTGTTGGACTACTTTCTGCAGCTTGGGAGGGGGCTCTGTTGAGCTGGGAGTGTAACTCGGCCTCGGACGCTTGTTCAGACTGTAGCAAAAGATCACAGAGAGGAAAAAACGCAAAAATACAACCACCTAAATATATAATGAAGAGCACTTAAGAAAATAATCACTAAGGGAAAATTGATTTAGACCAAATTGCTAGCTGAGCATGGTCAGGTCTGCTGATCCTTGGGAAAAACCTGATAGACCCTGCTATTCTCTCCCATTCCTCCTTCCAGCCTTGTTCAACCTTAGGAAAAGAGTCATGGGAATGTCTTCTATAATTGGACATATGTATTGCTAAAAACTAATGCTTTACAAGCTCAAAGTAAAAATAACAAGGCTTATTGGAAAAATAGGATTGGGAATGAAGTTAAAATTTTAACCTGAGCACTAACAAAAACAACAACCATAATAAAAAACACTGAGATTTTTTAAAAATATATTAAATTCCCAATAAAGAAGCACTCTAGTAGATATAACTCTTTACCTTAAAAAAGGTGGTGGGGGGGTGTAAGCATGATGGAAGGAGTCAACAGAGTGGTTCAGGCTGCCGAGTGGTGTGGAATCAATGAGTAAATGCACCAAGATCGATGAGGACTGCTCCCAAAGCCCTTCAAGACAGAGCAGGTACCACACAGCCAAGCAGAAGAGGCCAGGGAGACTGGGCGCCATGTGCAGCTCTCTATCTCCCCGAGGCTTGCTGTGTTCAGCTGGGCTAGAGTACCTTGCTTTCAGCCGCTACTAGACAGCGATGCAAAACATTAACTCGCTGAGAAGAAAAACCCTCCACATGAACCCATGTGACTTCCACATTATACCAACATCAGTCCTCTATTTACCCACAAACTAATCTGCATCACAGAAACACACACTGCAGCACAACAAACGGCTTCGGCTCGGTGTGCCCGCTTCGTCCCTAACATGGCCCTCTCTCACCTTTTGCGGAGTGCGGCTTTCCTTCCTCTGACTCTACTGAAACAGCTTGTTGCCAAGGGCGCTAATGCTCTCCCATTTGGCAGATTCTAGCTGCCTCTTCTAGTCTATTCACAGACCTTCTGCTCAGCACAGCATCCTTGACCACCCGTAGTCTCCTACTCGTAATCATTCTCTTTCCTGTTTCGACTCCTCTTATCCCTCAGATGCAGGATTTCTCAAGCTTCTGTCTTCCATCCCCCTGCTCCATTTTTCCCTACCTTTTCATTCTTTCCAAAAGTAATCCCACCTGCTCCTGCATTTTCACTGCCCTAGCTAGAAGCCTCGGTTCCCACCCACTCCTCACCTCTTCTAAACCCATTATGCAGGCATTCAGCATGCCTAATTTCTAGTTCCTCCCTCCAGAAAGTTTCTTATAACCTTCTCCTTTCCATTAAGGATAATTGTATTATTATTACCGTTATCATTATTAATAGATACTACAAAACACCAAACACTTACTACGTGCCACACACTGCCCTAGGTGTTTTGCATGGATTGCTGCATTTCGTCATCACAGCCCTAGGAAGTGCTTATTATCCCCATCTTATTAGTGGAGAAATTGAGGTTCAATAAGTTAAGGAACTCACCCAAGATCACACAAATAGCAGGGTCTGAACCCAGGCCTCAGGTTCCAAAGCTGGGTTTGCGACCACTATGCTATACAGCCTCAGGTATTGTTGGGCCTGAGTGTTATTCAAGAAATATTTATTGAAAAGCTACTATAGGCAGGCCCTGTGCTAGCGCTGGTCTTCAAAGATGAACAAGCCCAGACCTCGTTTACAAGGAGCTTGCAGTCTAGCAGGAGAGGCAGAGAAATGACCAGGCAACCATGCTTCAGTGGCATTAGGATGACGGTGGGCAAATATGGGGGTTGCAGGAGCACCGGGCCTTGTGGGTAAGCAAAGACTCAGGTGAAGGTGATGCCCCGGCTGAGACCTGAGTGATAAGCAGGGTGCAGCCAACAAGAAGGGCACTGCATGGGAAGGGTGAGAAGAGAGGCCCAAGGGCCTCCTATGCTCAGACATCTAGAATGTCAGCTTGGGATACCACCAGAACGCTAAGGCCGATCGCCAAGACAGGCACCACGGGAGAAGCAGGTGTGAGGGGGAGCTCACTTTTGGGCATACGGAATTTGAAGCACTTGGGAAACACCCGAGCAAAGCCATCAAGGAGCTATTCACTGTCAGGAGTCTGGGGGATGCAAGCACTCACCCACCTTCCCTGGGGGTTCTGACAAATGGTGTCATATTTCAAGATCCAAGAGCCCAATGTCAGCTCTATTAACTGATTAAAGACCCAAGAAGCCCCTGAATGCAGGCCTTCCCGTGAACTGCGATGAAGAACGCAACTTGGACCTGAGGCCCTTTCTTGCCTTCCACCTGCAAATCTATTGCTTAGAACACGTGTTCTGGCCCCAAGTCTACAAGTGGAGCCCCCTGCAGGGACCACAGGTGTGCATCAACACATCCCACCAGCCAAGCAGAGAGAAAAGGAGTGACAGGCCTTTCAGTTGGTCAGTTCCCCTCCATCATCAGGCAGAGAGAGAAGCGTTTGCCCTAACGCTCCCTTTCCTGGGGGAGATGAGTGAAGGTTTCTTGTGGAAATATTGAGGGAAATGATAAATTGAACCCTCTTCTAAACAAAAATGAGGATTCTCAGCACAGCAAAAGTAGGAGAGTGTCTTTGTCATTGTCTCCGTTTTCTCTTAAACATTTCTAAAAAACAACAACAACAACAGTGGGGTAGGGGTTGGGAAGGATGAGGGAGCAATTGGGAGATGTGTCTGAAAATTTTTTTCCATTTACGAATTTACCTTCTTGAAATTGCATCCAACGGTTTTCTAGCTCTATGACTAGTAACAATTCCTCAGTGTTATGTCAGGCTGAACGTAACCATCAATCTCCTTAGGAAGAAACTCAAGACCTCCCAACCCCTTTCTACTGCTCCATGACTGATTCTAAATCTCAGATTTAGATTCTGATTCTCACTGATTCAACCTCATGAGGGGCCTGGAACACTGCAATCAGTAAGGTCCTGGAAAGGCAGAGCCTCAGCAGAGTTAGAAATTATCCCAGGAAAAGAGATGGGGAAAGAAAACTAGCTTTATGGTGGTAAAAAAAAAAAAAACCCTAAAGATGAGATTTAGACATGCAAAAGCCCCTCTTCCCAATAAACTGTTTCACTTTTCTTGATGAAAATAGTATGAGGCTTCCATTAGACTTAGCAGCTGGAAAGCAGAACAAACCGCGGAGATTTCTTTGCTATTTCTTCAGACTTTTCTAAGTTAACAATTTTGGGAGAATGATAACCCATGAAAACAAGGGGGTTCAGTGGCTTCCTTTTTCCTTTGTATATTAGACAAAGGGAGAAACAACTCTGCTATCAATATGGACAATATGCCCTTGTCCAAAAGTTTTGGTTGTCTGAACTGAAATCCAATGCCTGAATCTCGCGAAAGAAACAAATATTTGGATTACAAATAATATTGCAAATGGCAGTCCTTCCCTCATGACTCCATGTGTAACAACATGTACCCAGCCAGGATGTGGCAAGCCAAGAAAATACTTTTAGCCAAGATTTCATTAAAACTCAAGCTAAAGTTCCTTTTAAAAATATACATCTTATATTTTAATATTAATACTCCTCTACCCACAAATGAGAAATATTTTTTCATTCTAATTTTGCAATGAAACGCCTGGATAGGTCACATAGATTTGGAAGGTGCTACCACTTAGGATGTGGAGAACTGTTCTGGGGCTTTGCCTATTCCCATGGTTGATGGGACAATATAGCCCCTGCCAGGTGGCTCCCCAGAAATGGACACAGGCCCAAGGAGGCTAAGCATTTTGATTCTTCACCAGAATAAGGGTTCATTCAGTTATTCAATTATACAGATATTTATTTTGTACATCTAATGTGTCACTTTCCAAGAATCCTCATCTCAGGTTCTGCTTCTAGGTAACTGGACCTAAGACATCAGGCAAAGTACTCCCAGAAGAAGGGAGCTAAAGCACTCTAGTGTGCTCTTCCTCGGTCTCTCTCTCTCGGATCACTTGCTCTGGGGGAAGTCAGGTGCTATGTTGTAAGGACACTCAATCAGTGCTAACAAGGGGCCCATGTGGCAAGGAAGTGAGGCCTCCTGCCAACAGCCATGTGGGGGAGCCATCTTAGAAGTGGATTCTCCAGCCCTAGCTGAGCCTTCAGATAACTGCAGCCCTAACAGACATCTTGACTGCGGCCTAATGACAGATCCTGACCCAGAACCACCCTGACTGATTGCTCCTGAATCTCCAACCCACAGAAACTATGAAATAATAAATGTTAGTTATTTTAGGCCTCTAAGAAAAACACTCTAGTATGTCTGGAATTTGGGGTCTAGTAGGGTGGAAAAAGGGTAAACAGTGGAGAAGAATGGGAGAGCCGAAGCTGGAGAAGGGCAGTGGAGTGGATCATACATGGTCTTATAGCTCGCTGTTCTAGATTGTCTATTAGCCACTCGGCACCATTCCCCACTCCTATGCTCTTCCCTACACTGCAGAGGGTAGAAGCCTGGGAACTACATTTATAGAATCTCCTTTCAACAGAGTTCCTTGTTGCTACTGAGAGTCACTCACATGAAACCAAGAAGGTGAAAGAAAACAAGCCATGTTATTGCTCCTCTGGCAGTAGTGGCCAGAAAAGCACGGGTTTCAGCAGTCAAAAGATCTTGTAGCGGCCTTGGGCATGTCCCTGCAAATCATTACTTAGGTGCTGCAGGCAGCCTGAGCATCTCTAGTTGTCTCCTTTAGTTCTTGCAATGTCTTAACTTTCAGAAAGTTGTGGGAAACCTGATAGTGGTGGCCTTCTCTCATCTTTGCTCCTCTAGCACATCTAATTCTTTATGTAAGTACCTAATTCCTTGAATGAAATCTCTTCCACTGTGAAATACTTAGAGTGGTTTCTGTTTTCCTGACTAGATCTTGGGTGATACATCCATCTTGAGGATTTGAGCTTATCCTGAAGGCCATGGGGGCCAGTGAAGGTTTTTAAATAGAGAAGTGATCTGACTAGATTTATATTTTAGAAAGA